ACAGACCGTCGGAGGCGCCCCTGATGCGACCTGCCGCCGCCCGCCCCCTGTGACGCACTTCCGCATCCGGCGCGCGGGTCGCGGAAGCGGCCGCGCGGCAGCTCCGGACTTCTCTTCCTCACCCCACCACGCCCCCAAGGAGGCGGGACTTCCAGGGCGGGCTCTAAACTGCGCGTGCGCGAGCCCGCCCCGCCCGCACACTGCACCTGTGTCCAGGTCCCCTAGAGGCTGCCCCTGAGGCTCCCTGTGCAGCCACGATCCTTATGCCAGAGGGGGCTGGGGCCTGTTGTGTGGGACTAAATTCTTATTATGGGTTATATGTAATAAAGTTCTACAATGCGATAGAATTATGTAATATAAGCTGCACATAATGTACTTATATAATTGTGTATAAATTATATAATTCCATGATGTAACTGTGTAACAAGATTCTATCCTATGATAGATAGTTATATACTATAAACTATAAATAATATGCTTATGTCATATAATTATACATAAATATATATAATAAAACTCTCTAATACAATTCTATAATATAATTCTATCATGTGATAATATAATTTTATATTATATTAAATTTATATTTATATTATATTATAAAAAATTTTATAATTTTTTATAATTTTATAATATATTGTAATAGAATTATATAATAATGAATTGTATATAAAGTACTCATAATGTGATAGATAAATTCTTTATAGTATAATTCTTTAATGTAATTCTATGATGTGATAGACTCATATGTGATTATAAAATTTTACATAATATACTTTTATAATATATGGAAATTATATATAATATACTTTTGTGATAAAACAGTCATATACATTATTCAGTTATTAATTTTTATTAATGAACAATATATTCATTGCATACTATCATTATCCAATGTAATTGTAAGGTAATAAATTAGACTTTATTAAGTTCCAACAGCATGCCAGACTCTGTGCGAGGCATGTGCTCCTGATGCACCAGATCTGTCACATGTTCCCAAACTGGAAATCAAGGATGGGAGAAGAAAAGGAGTCAGTTTCTGTTATTCAACACGTGCTGCCAAAGGATTAGCTCCAGAGGAAGCTGGGGTGGGTGAGGAAACCCTGGTGTCAAGTGTCATTTTGAGAAGAAAGATGCTTATGTGTATTTCCTGGGTGTTTACTCTGTATGAGTCACTTAATACACTTAATACACTGTACTTAGAGGCAGGTACGATCGTGAGTCTACCCTTGACTCATGAGCAAACAGCAGCACCAGAAGCCCCAGT